GTGTGGTTACTGGTGAAACAGTCTTAGTCTTTACTACACTGGCAAAAAGTGTAGGAACATGCATTATTTTTCCCTCTTAGAATTAAAGTTGTAGAATTTTTAGTCATGTCCTTATTGTTAAATACTTAAGTTTTCTCACATTTTTACATTTTAGTCAATAGCCATATAAGGAGCATTTTTAGTACAAATTTCTAGACTTAAGATCGGGAGTCAGTATGGTTTGAACATTTGTAACATTTGTTGAACATTTGTTTCTTCCTGGGAAATCCAGTTCTAGAATCATCTATCTATTATTTATCCTCTCATCCATAGTGTGTTAAGCAGTTGTCTTATCCCACTCTGCTCAGCATTAAGTATTATAATAATCTCTTATATTGTAATGAATGGATTAGAACAAATGGTATCTAGTTGCTGTTTTAAGTTGTGTCCTTTGATTATTTACAAAGTTGAAATTTTTGTAGGTTTAATAAAACAATTTTTAAATGAAAAAGAAAAAAGTTAAACTGGTAGACCAAAATTTACCGTATTGAAATACTCCACCCCAGCGTTGTTGAAGGCTTCTGCAATTTCTTTGGTTGTCACTACGCATGCCATTGGGTGGCCATTGCCCATGGGTTTTCCCATTGTGACAATATCTGGAACAAAGTCCTCACCATGCATTTGGAAGCTCCAGAAATGTTTTCCAACTCGGCCAAAGCCTACCTGAACTTCGTCAGCTATGAACACTCCCCCTGCTCTGTGTACATATCTGAAAAGCAAAGGTGTACTTTAATGCCTTCAGATTACCAAGTGTCCCCAGACCTACACATAAATATATAGATTATTACAAAAAAAAAACATAAAAAATAATTTTTAAAATAGTGGAAAAAAAGATGTAGATTATTTAAGACAAAAAAGCATTGTTAACCTGAAGCCTTGATGTGTATTAAAAATATTCAGAATCCCACACATATGTTACAATATAATAATACAATTTCTAGATTGGATATATTCCACACTGTTAATGCGTGTGTGCTGCTTAAAGTAAGCTATATTGCAGTGTTTTAAGTGGAAAGAGAAAGAATTGAATGAGTAGTTTTTAGCAGGGTTAATCTTCACATTTTTACTAATTGGTAAGGCTTAGGTGCCAGCCAATCAGACAGGATGCCAGATGAGGGACTTGCACAGAATTCTGGAGACAGCTCTGCTGGGCCATATGCAAACCCTTTATTTTCTGGATCTTGGGGAAGGAAAAGGGGGGCATCCGAGAGTCCTGGGATGGCAGGCACTCAGGAGTGGCTATTTACCAGCTAACCTGGGAGTACTTTAGTGTATTGGCAACCAATATGGCCCTAGAGAATTGTCACAGTGCCCTCAGTCTGACCAATGGTGCCCACGTCAAGTACATACTCTGCCACTTTCTGGAAGTAGCCTGCTGGAGGGATTATTTGTCCGCCACAACTCTGCATGGATTCAGCAATAAAGGCAGCAATCTATACAAGAGAAGATGGAGTCACAGTCCATTAGGTCCCCCTCTAACCCCCTAAGAAAGAAGATTGCTTATAGAGCTGGTTATTTAAAAAGTGGCCAGGAATAGAACTGTTGTTAAGTGGCAGGTCAGCCTTTTGATTAAAAACAAAAGGTGTCTATGCTAGAAAAGCAAATGATCTTATTAGTTATTGAAATTCTAGGGTACCCATCAAGCTACCAAGAGAAATGGAGAAGATGAGAGGGAACTCCCATTTCTGCATCATTAATTAAGTGCAGTGGTTTCATTATTAAGATGATCTGAAAAAGACTGATGCTTTGAGAAGACCCTCTAACATTTTACCAAGGTTTCCAAGGCGTCACCATGGCACTTTTTAGCCAGCTTGGTGAAATAG